TCCTCTGGCTTGATGCCGTCTCCGTCTAAGACGTGGCCTAAATACAAAACTTGGGTCTTTGCCCATTCGCACTTCTTTGCGTTGATCTTGAAGTTAGCTTCTTTCAGTTTCTCCAAGACATGCCTGAGATGGCCCTGATGCTCTTGGAGGGTCTTACTAAACACTAAGATATCATCCAAGTAAACTACAACGAATCTATCTAACCATGGCCTAAACAAATCATTCATACATCGCTGGAAAGTCGCTGACGCATTGGTTAGTCCAAAGGGCATCACGATGAACTCGTAGTGCCCGTACCTAGTCCGGAAGGCTGTCTTGTACCGATCATCAGGATGAACCTCTATCTGATGGTATCCGGACTTTAAATCTATCTTTGTAAAATATCTGCACCCCTGCACTCGACCAGGAGATCGTCTAAGCTCTCCCTCCTTCTTGGGGACAAATAGAACAAGTGCTCCAAATGGAGACGAACTGGGCTTAATCCAACCCTTCTCTAGGAGCTTGTCTAGTTGCTTGCGCAACTCCTCTAACTCCCGCAGAGACATTCTATACACGGCTCCTTTGGGAGTCCTACTGCCAGGCTCAATCTCAATGCGGTGTTGGATAGGCCGCGGTACTATTCCTGTCGGCGGCTTCGCCAAGTCTGTGAATTCTTCCAGCAGTTTGGCAATAGCAGGGTCTATAGGGTTCTCTTCCTTAGGCTCAGTGACTGGCCTAACATAGGCTACAAAAACCTGTTCCTCTAGTTGCTCCTTTTTCACCAGTCTTGCGAACGCAGGAGCGCTAAGGCAGCAGTGTGCCAGGGAGTTATCTACTCCTGACACATGGAACAGGCGGGCAGTTTTAACACCGCCTGTTGGGCCAGGGAACCTACATTCATGCTCTCTCAAGTTGAGCGAGGCCCCTGCTGCCTCTCCCCAGTCCATACCTAGGACTATATCAAACGGGAGGCTATCCTCTACGAGGAGAGTCAGGGAATGGAGAACTTTTTCCACCTTCCCATCCTGTTCTAGGCGAAAATATGCCTGGACTCCCTCTACGTACTCTTCCACTCGCATGGTGCGATTGTCCGCAAGGATACTTACTATGGGGTCTGTTAGTCTCAGGACTTTTAATTGCAACCTCAGCTTTTGTAGCGCCTTTCTACTGATATAACTACGAGTGGCTCCACTATCCACTAAGGCGCCAACTTGACCTCTAAAGATCTCTGTATCTACTAATATAAGCTGCCCCTTATTCTCCTTTTTCATCTTGGCCCAGGCGAGCATCCTCTCCTTCAATTCTTCAGCCACGCCTGTGAGGGAGGTGTCTAGAGAGACTCTAACACAAGCAGTCTCTGGACAGCCATCTAGACACCGGCCTGCAACCTCTGCCATAGGCACATGTGGTGTGGGAGTCTCCTGCCGGCTAACGCTATTTTCCCCACATGGCCTTATGGTAGGGGCAGTTGCTACCCCTACCGGCGGCTGCCTTTTGGCCCTTGGGCAGCCGGTCGGGTCTCTCTATACTTCAGACAGTATTTAATGATGTGGCCAGGGTCACCGCAATAAATGCACTGCCCCTGGTTCACACGCTGCTGCCATATGCGCTGGTCCAGGCCCAAATCTTCCCAAGGCCTACCTTGCGGCAGCCCTGGGTGCCAACCATTTCTCCTATAAGGGGACCTATTCCCAGACCGGTTTTGCGGGGGACCTTGACCCCTTCCTCCCGCTTGGCGGTTTCCTCCTCCGCCGCCAACCCCCTGATCGCCCTGAGAACGGTTCCCTGAGGCCCGGCCCCCTTGGCCCTGGCCTCGTCCTCCTCCTTGCGGCCTCCCTCCAGCCGCGACAGCAGCGTAAGTCCTCCCTTGACTCGCACCACTGTCTTCGTCCTCTAACCCCCACTCAATCTGTTTGTAGGGGATCTCATCAACACTACCTTCATTTAGAGTGAGGACAAGACTATCCTTAGTTTTAACTTGCCCTGAGATAGTGCGACCTTTCCATTGCTTCCCTTTGTCTAAGTCTTTGTGCTAGAAAGTGGAAGCTGATACCGACTTTGCCTCAAAAGCCACCACTTCGCGGCTAAGGGAATCATAGGTGGTGGCAGGGTCTTCACTCTTCGCGAAGAAATGCCCTCGCAAGGCTTCGGGCATAGCCCGGTAGAAGAGGCTGACCAACTGGGTCTCTGTGACCCCGTGGTCAGGTACAGCCGCTAATTCATCCATTGTGCCCTTGAGTGCCCTAGCGCTTTTCCATTTACGAGAGTGGATTGTCTGAAGCCTATCTGACGCCTTGACACTACGGGCGACATCAGCAAATCGCTCGCGCAACAATTTCATGAAATCGGCGAGGGGGATGAACGACAAGTAGGCAACTGCATCCTCATTGCAGTTAGCAGCGCGGACTTGGGATCTCGCGAAACTGGCAGCCTCATCTCTAAGCGCATGAATTGCAATCAACACGTGCTGATCCGGGGAGACCTGTTGCAAATGCACATAGGTCTTGACGTTGGCCTCCCAATTGTCAAAGTTCTCGTCCCTCTTTCCGCTGTAGGAACCGGGGAACTTGACTTTGACCGGCTCCCTGCGAGGACGTGCCTCTTCCTCCTTGGGAGCTGTCAGCTTGACGCCTTCAATGGCGCCTACGCAAAATCGTTCTGTCTTCTCGAGGCGATGGTTCATCTCGGACCCTACTGCCCCTACCAGTTCGCGGGCAAAATCCCGAAATCCCATCCGCATTGAGCGCACGGCCATATCCTGACTTCTACTAAACTCATATTGTTCTCCCTGTACCCGGGCCAAGCGCTCAACACTCTGGGCAATGACCTCCACCTTTCGTTGGAGATCCACCTGGGCGGTCAACTGTTCTCTCAGGTTCTTTACCTGCTCTAATTCTTTGGCCGCCTCACTTGCCGCATCCACTCTCCTCTTCTTTTCCCTCATCATCCTGAGTCTCCACTCCATCTTTTTCTCATCCTCCATCGCTTGCTGCTTCAGGGAATCTTCCTCTGCATCCCATTCTTTCATGGCGGCCTCCTGCTCATCCTTGGGGATATACATGGCAACCTCCTCCTCTTCTCCCAAAGACAAGTTGGCAACCCATTCTGAAATCCTTTTCTCCATTTCATCATTTTTACTCCCACTGTACTGCCCTCGTTGCTCTCTCCTCCTTTCCAACGACTGCTCATCTTCCTCCTCCTCCTCTTCCACCTCTTTTAACTTCGCTTCTTCTTCTTTCTTCAACCTCTCCTTCTCTCTGGCCATCTCCTCCTCAATCTTCTTCAATTTCGCCGCATGCGCCTCCAACAAGGCCTTCTTCTGGGACTCCTCCTTCTCTCTCCTCTCCTTCAGGATTGCGGCGGCCTTGGCCTCCTCTTCAGGTGTGTAGGGGTGTGTGGTCGTACCACCCTTGGTCTCTACCCTACATGAGAATGTGTTCCAGAATCCCAACGGGGACATGAAACGCCAAAGGGTCCCCCAGAGGGAGAACCCAACGAGTAAACCATACATGGGGTAGTCATCCATGGTGTTCAGGTGCACGACAATGCCCCACTCCTCACCACATAGACCTACCCGAACCACTGACTGACTGACTCTCTAAGGACCACAGGGTAGAACCCTGTCAGCTATGATCACTAGCCTAGACCTACTCTAAGGCTGTCACTACTGAACCAGTGGCTGATCTGGAGGCCTTTTAAGGAGATCCCCCTAACTCCGCAAGAATTCTTTAACGTCGCAAACAGGACGACGTGATCAGCTTGGCTCTTACCTGTCGCACCGCCCACAGCTCAGCTTTTCAGGCCTACCGTGCCACACCGAGCAGCCCGCCGGTCTGTACCGGTCCTTGGGAGGGTTCGTATCCCCCGGGACACTCGAGTCGTCAGACACAGTCTTTAGCCTTACTTAGTCCGACAGGGGTTCGGGTCAACAAGGCCCTCAACACTTAGACTGCCTGTTGTTTCAGCCCACAACTCAATCTTTCAGGCTCACCGTGCCATACCAACCGTGTCCAGCCGGTCAGCACCGGTCCTTGGGAGGGTTATGCACCCCTGGACGGTTGGATCTGCCACAGTCTCAGCCTTACTAGATCCGGTAGGGGAGTGGTCAACCATGCCTATCCTTCATCCACAGAGTACTATCACTTAGGATAGAAGAGACTCGATGCAGAAAGAAGAGACAGACAGACTCAGACTCAGCAAGTACCGTAGGGTAAGTGCACATCCACAGGGTGAGGGGATAGGCTAAGGGCTTGACGAGATGTTACCCACTCCAGCTTGGTCAAAGTCTTGGTCAACGACGCCGGTCAACTCCTCGGTCAACGCTTGGTCAACGCAGCAAGACCCCGGTCAACACCCCGGTCGACGTCCGGTCAACCCTCCGGTCAACCTTCCACCTCGGCTATGGATGCCGGCACCTTCTCCTTCGCCACCCTTATCTCTTTCTTCCTCTTCCTTCACCTTCTTCTTCCTTTCTTTTTTTTTTTTTTTTTTTTTTTTTTTTTTCCCCCTCGGCTATGTCTGTCTTCTTCTCCGATGTCCCTCCTTCCACACTCCTTCCTCACTCCGTGATGCTGCTCTGCGGCTATGGCCGCTTTTCCTCCTTCGTGGGACTGCACAGCTCGCTTCACAGGTAAGTGACAACCAAACTTGTATCGCTCATCTCTCTCTCTCTCTCTCTCTCTCTCTCTCTCTCTCTCTCTCTCTCTCTCTCTCTCTCTCTC